AGTAGCTTCACTGACTTACAAAAAGAGCTCTGTCTCCCAAAACAAAGATTTTCTTTCTTTTATAGGGGTATGTGCATGAGGCAAGGGACAGGGTGGTGATACTGACAATCATTGCCTTAGCAAATCAAGACAAGATGGCTCCAGCTATTTCTGTGTAAAGCTGCTCCCAGTTTCTGGGGACTGAGCCCCAGAAAACTGGCCTTCCTCTTCCCATCTGCACAACTACTAAGATGGTACAGTCTTAGTACAAAGAAGAAACATGACAGGGTCAATTTTCATCCCGGGTAAGGGAAGACCCTTTCTGCCCAAAGAAATCACTGCTGACCTGCAGGCTGCTTGGGCCTCTGGACTTAAGAAGGAATCGCTCTCTGGGCTGAGGACCCCACAGAGGAAAACAGCCTAGTCCATGGGTACAGCTGACCTGCACAATTTCAGTATTTAGACCAGGGTTTCTAAACCAGGTATAGTTATGTCCCCCAGAGGACTTCTGGCAATCTCTGGAAACATTTTTGGTTTTACCAATTTTGGGGGAAACTGTAGGAGGATTACCATTGTCTTCTGGTGGGTAGAGGCCAAGAATGCTGCTAAACATCCTACAATGCCTAGGCCAACACCCTACTGGCATACCTCCCACCAAACTATTATCCAGTCTAAGATGCTCAGAGTGCAAAGGCTGAAAACCTCTCATTTAGACTGTGATTTATAAGTTGTTCTTGTCTCAGGGTTTAAAAAGTTACAGGCAGGTCCATTAAGCACCTAACCATACATTATAAAACTTTTACTACAGTCTCCCCCAAAAAAATGATCACTCCTCTGACTCCAGTTAAGATTCAATCACCCATTTATTTAATATTTATTGTTTCCATTATGCAATTAGGCACAGTGGTAAGCAAAAGTGACAGAGTTAAAAGATGACAGGATCTGATTCAACTCCTGCAAGGTTCTGAAAGTGAAGTATGAATAAAACAACTTGATACTCTAAAATCAGACAGAGATACTTCCAGTCACAGCTCTACTACTTGTCATTGGTGTTTTATTTAATTTTCCTGAACCTCAAGCTCTTCATTTCTAAAGCAAATCAAATGTGGCCTCCCTGAAAGTGGGAGAGTTAAATAAAATAATTTAAGTAAAGCAAGAATACTGTATAGAATACAATCCCAGTATTCAATATTTAATTCCTAGTAGCAAAATTTAAGTCTCTTTATAAAATAAGCATTAAATAAAAAACTGCTAGAATGCCTGTAAAATAGCCAATGTAATTATGATTTTGACAGTCTGAATACATTTTCAATCAAATTCACTGTTTCTTTTCACAGCAGATAGAACCCTTCAAAGCCTGCCTCCTATCTCCTGCAGCCTCATCTCCTTAACTACATAATCTTCCATGCACCTGCATGTCCCCAGCAGTGGTGCAGATTGAAAGATAAGGTCTCAGCAGCAACCAAAGCAGGGCCAAAGGTCAGCATCAGTTTTTGTCAGGATCTGAAGGTGGTAGGTGGGAAAGAAATAAAGAAAGGAGGCAAAGGGATAAAAGAAAAAAGGGAGAAATGAGGGGGAAAAAGAATGAAAATTTGAATGAATGAAAACAAAAGGCAGTAAAATGACTGTCGGTTAAGTCTGCAAAGGTAAAGAAACACTTTACAGACCACAATTCATTCTGCACATCATAAAAATTGATTGAAAAATATGTTAAAAATAATTAGTCTCATTCAAGAGAAAAAAATCCAAAATAAACATGGACCACATTTATGGACCACATTATCACAGCCCAATAAGTATGCCCAGTATCAATATCCATATCTAAATGAGAAAAGAAAACATCACTCACATATGTTTACTGGAATGCATAGTTTAATAACAGAGTGGTTATGAGTTTGGTTTTTCCACCCAACATATAACAACTTTCCATACAGAATAAAGCATATTTTACTAGACCAGTTTCCAGGTACATGACCTGTGAACTCAGGAGCCCCTCTTATAGAAGTGCTTTACTAAATAGTTAACTTCATCCTGTATAACCAAGTATAATCAAAGCCACAGGTGAATGAAAGTGAAGCTTTTCCAAAAGTGGCTGGATCGACAGCATGTAATGTTGGAATTGATTCATGGTGCAATGCTAGGCTCAAGGACACTAGGATCAAGGGTGTGAGTGTTACTCACCCTAAGTAGTCTGAATAAAATAACAGGGGAGGGAAGTCACTGTTAAGTCTCTTGCTGTTCTGCTACCTTCAGTCTGCCATGAACTGCTGCCCCTCTGTCATGTGCCACTGTGCCTTGGAGCCAGCCAATTATGGACGGAAACCTCTACAAATCGGCAGCTAAATAAACCTTTTCCTCTTTAACTTTGGGTGTAGGGTATTTTGTTTCAGCAATGAGAAAAGTAACTAAGACACCATGGAATCTTTAGCCTTTCCAGAGATTCCTGTGATGAGGTGGAAGCCAAGGGAAATGTTAAGCTTTCTCATAGGGCTGCATATGTAGCTGAGTGGGAGAGCCCTTGCAGAGCATGCACAGACCCTAAGTTCAATTGTCAGCACTGCAAAACAAAAAAAAAAGAGAAACTTCCTGTAAGCTCACAGAAATTTTGATTTAAATTTTAATCAAGCCTATGTTTAACACAACTCAGGAAAAAAAAAAAGCTAAACTACTGTGGACTTAGTGCTAATAAAAAAGAAATAAAAATAGTAGTTATCTATGCTTATTGTGGTAACAGATTGTAAGACCCAAATCTATTTTCTATACCAGATTCTGCTCCATATGTGACCTCATGGTAGTCATCAAAATTCACCAAACCTCAGTCTCCTGATTTACAAAAATAAAATGATTGCATTGAGAAGCTTTAACATTTCTTCCAATTCAATACTGACTCAGAGTTTGGAAACACTTAAAATCAAAAGCTTAATGGTCCTTTTTTTAATAGAAAATGAAATAAAAGCCTTTATGAAAATGTGTCAAATGTGTAGGTTTGAAAAGATCACAGTGACACAGTCTTGAAATCTGTGCCTAGTAATTGTTTCAAACTACAGGCTGAAAATAGAATGACAAGACTAGAGAATTCTTCCAGTGCCTCAGCAACTTCCTGTGAGGCCTCCTTTCATGTAGCTGCTTTTTCAAAGAGTTTATGGATCTCCCAAAGAACTCAAATGATACAAATAACATTCATAAGATACACAATTGCTTAGCTAATATGGCTATATCATACCAGCTGGCTATACCACCTAGATTCTACTTATGAACCCTCTTCAATGGCTGAGTACCTCTGTTCTAAATAAGCCACAAAATAGCAAAAGAATAATTCTACTATCTAGACGGAGGAATGCTTTCTGAATTCTAGAGTCATAAAGACTTTTGTGATCATCTCTAACCCTTCCACTTCACAGAAAAGCCTTACATTTGGTTAGCTAAAACTCTTCAGGATTAACTGGCTAAGCATGTAAATAATTTTTCCACCATTTAACATTTTAAATAATAAAACCGCATTTTTGGACCAACTTTTCTCCCTAAAAACATTCCTAAAGAAAATGATAAATTTTCAGTCTCTGCTTATACACTTAGTGTGTTTGAAATTACTTCCACAAACAGAACTTCTAAGAGGTTCTACTGGCCATTCCACTATCCCAGCGACTTTGACAATTTCGACCAGCAAAGGAAAAGGCAGATACTCCTCGTTTCATGTCACTACCCTATCAGTAGCACAATTTTACTCAGTCGTAGAGTATGTACTATGCTAATCTGAAATAGTCACCAATAATAAACTGACAATATTAAGGAAGATGATGTCAAAGGATATTCTTCTAACCTAGAGGAATAAAACAAATATAAACTGCTGAATGGATGCAGTCTGAAGAGTTAAGGTCAGCCACTACTGCATAAAGAAAACAAAATCCACTCCATGCTTAAGAAGTTAAAAGTAATTACCATAACTAAAAGACAAATCTTTCCAATATTAACAAACAAATCCTCTTTACCCACAACTAGACAAAACATGTACTTGAGGCTGAGATGGAAGTTGTTTCCCAGGTCTACAAAAGAAAAACTGTAAAGAGTTAAAGGTACAGCCTGCACATATTCATAGGAGCCACGGAGTTGAGAGTTACTCTGTGATTATCTGGGTCATTTTAAAACAGGTCATTAGTAGTACTATTGTACCGAGCACGTCCAAAAAATTTCCAAAATCCAGAAACTGTCAAACCTTAGCGGGCTAGTGACATTTGGATGATTATTGTAAGGTTCTGAGGTCCAAGCTCCTGAGGAATTTAATGCGACGTGGCCAGGCAAGTGCCCTGAATTGTTATTTCAATTAGCTACCTGTGCGAATATGGAAGTACCCGTGTCTAACAAGTTCCACAGAGCACACATTTCAGCGACCCCGAGCGCTTCACGGAGGCGACGGTCAGGGCTGGGGGGACCGCGCGGGCGCAGGACAGGGCTCCCACCAGGGACGCTCGGCGTGAAGGGGCAAGAATGACCCGCTGGAGATATTTCCACCATTTCCTTGACGTCTCATTAAACCGTGTGGCGGGCTGGGGACGCGGCTCCAACTTTAAAAGTGCCACAGGTCAAGGTTAGCACCAGCTCTCATCGATGGGCCCAGAGCCCTCAGAGCTCTGGACTCAGGTGCCCCATCCGTGCAACGGGCTCGCGCCAACCTCGGGAAGGTTAAGGGGAGACAAAGCGAAGAAAAACGAAACGAAACCAGCAGCGCGCTAGCGCTGCCAGGCTCTCCCACGCGCCGCCCCAACGCCCTCCAACCGGCCCGGCCCGCCGGCCACTCACGGGTAGGCATGGTGACCCTGAG